TCTGCCTCTGCCTCTGCCTCTGCCTCTGCCTCTGCCTCTGCCTCTGCTGGGTTTAAAGGTGTGTACTACCACTGCCCAGCTCAAACTTTATTATTTAATGACTTTGTTTATTTTTATTTTATTTGCATTGGTCTTTTGCCTGCATGTATGTCTGTGTGAGGGTGTCAGATCCACTGGAACTGTAGCTACAGACAACTGTCAGCTACCATGTGGGTCCTTGGTATTGAACTGGGGTCCTTTAGGGGAACAGCCAGTGCTCTTAACTGCTGAGCCATCTCTCCAGCCAAACTTTATTTTCTAATTAGCTTATAAAGTATCAGATTTCCTTGTAGCTTTTCCATACATCCTTAGTTTTTGCTGACCTCCCCCTCATCTTCCTGTCTCTCTTCCCTGCTTAACCCTTTCTAACCTCAGTGTTCTTTCTATTTTCATATCTTGTTAAAATAATCATTTCTCTATCTTTCCTCTCAGACCTGAACTGAAGCCAGTGGACAAGGAGTCCGAGGTGGTGTTGAAGTGAGTGTAAGCTGGGGAGTTGATGGGGACCTTCTGTTTCCGGCCACCTCCACATTCCACCATTGCACCTCCTGCAGGTTCCCGGATGGGTTTGAGAAGTTCTCCCCACCGATTCTGCAGCTAGATGAAGTGGATTTCTACTATGACCCTCAACACGTCATCTTCAGTCGGCTGTCTGTCTCTGCTGATCTCGAGTCTCGCATATGCGTGGTATGGCTACTCTTCTGCTCAGTGTCCTTAGCAAGTATGGAGTGGGCCAATCCAGACGCAGTAGAAGGAAGAGTACAGAAAAATGGGTGGGGCCTGGACACAGGAAATTATCCTCATACTGCTGTGTTCTCTGTGGCCTCACTGGGCCACCTCAGAGATGAGAAACCTGGCATGTGGCAGTTTGTAAATGTATAAAACAGGAATTTACCTTATTCTTAGTTCTGAATCATAACAGGATACAGTAAAGCAAGAACATAGGTTACAGGTCAGGATGCTTGGTTTTAGAGAAATTTTCTTTTCCTCAGAAGGGAAATTAAAGGCTAGGGAGCTAGCTCAGCAAGAATTGCTTTCTGCCTAAATGCGAGGGCCAAATTCAGTCCCCAGGACTGGACTCCAGTTCCTTGGAGTTTTTGGTTGTAAGGCTGGGACTACTGGGGCCCTCTTCCTTCCCTTCTGTGCCTCCCACATTCACATTCCTTAAACATGTTCATGGTGCCTACAGGTTGGGGAGAATGGGGCTGGGAAATCTACCATGCTGAAGCTGCTCATGGGGGAGCTGGCTCCGGTTGGAGGCATCAGGCATGCCCACAGGTAAGTAACCCCCTCATGAACTGCATGTACACTCGTACGCATTCAGCTACCTACACTACTCCACAGTGGTGCCTCCTACCTTCATTTGTGCCTCCAGGAATCTGAAGATAGGCTATTTCAGCCAGCACCATGTGGAACAGCTAGACTTGAATGTCAGTGCTGTGGAACTCCTGGCTCGCAAGTTTCCAGGTATGTTAGGGATAAGAGCATTTTAGCTGATCCTTGCGCCTAGGCCTGTCTTGGGTCAATATAGAGCAGCCTGCCTAAGTCGATGGGCATTGAAAAGTTGAGCATCGGATGCAGCAAAGGAGTTGGGCCAAGAGCTTATCTGATGTGGGGGCCTTTTCCAGGGCGACCTGAAGAGGAATATCGTCACCAATTGGGCCGGTATGGCATCTCTGGAGAACTGGCCATGCGTCCTGTTGCAAGCTTATCTGGGGGCCAGAAGAGCAGGGTAGCCTTTGCTCAGATGACCATGCCTTGGTGAGCTTAATATTTGTGGGTTCTCGCCTTCTTATTTCCCCTTCTTGTCCAGTACAAAATGATTGTTCTTTGTGCCAATGAATTAATTTTCTTCCATCCTGTATTGTGTGTTCTGCCTTCCAGCCCCAACTTCTATATCCTGGATGAACCCACAAACCACCTAGACATGGAGACAATTGAGGCTTTGGGCCACGCTCTCAACAACTTCAGGGTGAGCATGTTCTTGCCTGAGTGTTCTTCCGTAGGGCTCCACACCCTTTGATACCTGTTCCCTTGAGCACTTCTGTTCTGTCTTTCAGGGTGGTGTAATCCTGGTATCCCATGATGAGCGTTTCATCCGCCTGGTGTGCAAGGAGCTGTGGGTGTGTGAGAAAGGCAGGGTCACCCGGGTTGAAGGAGGATTTGACCAGTACCGTGACCTCCTCCAAGAACAGTTCCGCCGGGAAGGCTTCCTCTAGATCCTGGCTGAGTAAAGACTGTGCCTAGGACATGGACTGGTTTTACAAGACCCCTAAGCTACCATGTAGGCAACCAACTCCAGGCTTAGGACTTTCCCTTCTTGGGAACAGCCTTATTTTCCAAATTCCTCTTTTCCTTTCAACTGGAGCATCTTCTGAACAATGTGGGGAAACCTATCCAAGGGCTTGTGAATACAGTCCTGAGGGAAAAGGATAGGAGTGCCATCCGGGGTTATACGTACCCTGCTGCCCAGCTTGACAGGGCCCCATGTGGCTGCTATGTAAATTAAATATCCTCCTGTATCTCTGTTTCCTCATCTCTGCTCTTTTGTGGGCAGGGCTTGCCATGGTCTTCTGCTGTGGTTTCCGGGTTCTCTGATTGGTGTTTTCCTTCGAAGAGAATGTCAGTCACACAGGCAAAGCAACATCAGTGCCAGCCTTCCTCTTGTTGGCAGGTGTCCTCTGTCCCTTGGGTGGGCTTGAGCTGGAGGAATGAACAGCAGGGTATTGGGGTTGCTGGTGCTCGTGTCCTGGCCTGGGGTTACTGACAGCTGAGAGGATCTTGGGCTCTGCCGTCTCAGCCCTTGCCGCTTGGGAGTTTGAACTGATTCTCAAATCTGGCCTCATACAGTTCAACTGCTTTCTCTGGGGACTTTGGCACAGCCTCATGTTTCTCTAATCTGGACCTTCAGGGCTCAAAAGAAAACTATTGTTTCCAGTTTGCATTAGTGACTTAATGTTCTGGATTCTTCCTCTAACCATGAATAAGCAGCTAGGAAGTAGGGAATTGGCCTAACTGAAAGAAATAGGACAGTTTGTTCTTCTCAGACTGATCTGACCTTTAAGAGGGAAGATACGTGCAGTAGCATGTGCCTGTGGTCCCAAGCACCCTGGAGGCTGAAGCCGGGCGTCATTAGATTCATTTCAGAGACCTGCTTGATCTGTGAGACCCGCCTCTTTTATAAAAGAGGAAAGAGAGGCGGCTTATAAGTTATTTCTCAGGGACTTAGCTGCTATAGTTAATCGGTGTATGGAAGACATTAAAATGGAGTCAGTGGAGAGACTAGCTCAGCCTGCTGGAGATGATAGTAGTCCGGAGTCTCACCCCATGAATCTCTGGGCTGTGTTGAATATTATGGTGTAGGTAGTTTAGGAAGAGAAGCCTGTGGGTTAAAGGAGAGTATGTGAGTTAGCCTTGTATTGTAACAAAGTTCCTTATAAAAAAAGAACAAGCAAGGAAAGGTTTATTTTGTCCTATGGTTTACAAGCTTCAGCCTATGGGCACTTGACTGTGTTACTCATGTGCTTATAGTCAGACAGAACATGGGGGGGCAGGTGCACATGCTGATACAGCAGCTCAGGGTAGAGGTCTCACGCTTCCTGGAGTTTGCCCCTTTCCCTCCAGCTAGATCCTCCTTCCTAAGAGTGCACATGAGCTCTGTGCACCTCAGCAGTGATCCTGTGCATGGCTCCGTGTCCCTCAGCAGCAATGGGACCTTTTTCAGACAGGTAATTCTCTTCCAACTTGAAGCCCACAGATAAGTGTGTTGGGGAACAATAGAACCCATGCCTGTCAGTCATCCAGGCTCAGCCTCTGGATCCCTCCCTCTTGGAGATAGTTAGCCCCCTAGGAGTCCTGGAAGAACTTTGAGAACCAAGAGCATTGACGTCAAGGTGCTGTGAGGAAAGGCTAGGGCCTCGCTGGTATTAGTAGAAGGAGCCACAGTAGAAGCTAAGTAAAGCAACCCATGGAACCCCCGGGTTCTTTGTGGCAGTGTTAAGGGACCAGCCTCCACGCAGTATGAAAACTTGAGAACGGGTTTACCATGTACCCACGCTGACTGGAAGGATTCTGTAACTAACCATGGGCCTGTCTAGGCTTAAAGAAAAGCTGCAGGTACCCAGGCTACCTTCACATGTGCTGGAGCCCTATGGGAGGGAGGTGGGAACTCCAATTCCATGAAGAGCCCACCTGCACTGCAGGGATCTGGGCATGAGAAGGCAATAACCGTCAGCTATGATGCAGAGCTGTGTAGAGATGCCAGTGGCAGCCAGCCCTACTTATTTCAGAAAACAGAGCAAGGGAGCCCCACACCAGCAGCAACCGTCTCCTGTATTGGCTAATACCAGCTGGGGCAGTCTGTATAGCAGCTTATCCTGGAGCTCTTCTGCATACATCAAAATTTTGAGTCATTCAGGGGCTGGTCAGTAAAGGACTTTAGGCTGTGGTCTTCCCTGAAATCCTGGACTCCTGGCCTCTCTTGGCCTGACTGCCCACCAACAGCACGTGGGAATTTGGCTATTCTCAGTAAGAATCCATTGGTCCCTCAGCACAGTTCACGAAAGGCACTTAGGCCACTGGACAAGTTGTTCACTTCCTTATGCTGTTACTGTCTGGAGATCTGGACATTTTGCTAGGTTCTGGCTGGCTTCCAGGCCAAGTTTAGCTCAGAGCCTAGCTCTTCCCTGGGCTTGAGCATGCAGAGTGGATGCCAAAGACTGTAGGGGATGCTGGCAGGGTGGATCCAGGCTGTGAAAGGAGGCCTTGAACCTGGAGTGATAGGCAGCTCCTAAGTGTCCCCCAATCCAGCCAGTTGCTTTTCTCCCTCTCTCCTTCCCCATTTTGATTCTTAGGCTTTTTAAAAAAAAAAAATAATACTTTAAAGATATTTAAAGATTTAAATTATTAAATTTAAATATTAAATTATTATTTAAAGATTTATGTTCTGCCTGCATGTATGCCTGTACTCCAGAAGAGGATACCAGATTTCACTATAGGTGGTTGTGAGCCACCATGTGGTTGCCAGGAATTGAACTCAGGACCTCTCGAAGAACAGTGCTCTTAACCTCTGAGCCATCTCCAGCCCTCTTAGGCTTTTATTGACTAGTGATTGGGCAATGGTGGCACACACCTTTAATCCCAGCACTCAAGGACAGCCAGGGCCACACTGCGCACTGCATACTGGCCTGATGAGCTCTTATGCCGTTAGTCTGCTTGCGCTGTGGAACTCAGGCATCCAGTTGTCCCTTCCTCCCTCCCTCCTTCCTTCCTTCCTTCTTCCTTCTTTCTTCCTTTCTCCCCCCCTCCATTGAGTATCTTTTTTTTTGATACAGGGTTTCTCTGTGTAGCCCTGGTAATCCAGGAACTCACTCTGTAGACCAGGCTGGCTTGAACTCATAGATACACCTGCCTCTGCCCCCCGAGTGCTGGGATTAAAGGCTTGTATCACCACACCCAACTGAGTGTGATCTTGAGAGCAGCTCTCTTTAATTTTAATTTAGTTTTATGTGTGGATGGTTTCATTCTTTGTCTGTGAACCATGTATCCTCAGAAGAGCATTGGCTCCCCTAGAACTTGAGTTACAGACAGTTGTAAGCTGCCACGTGGGTGCTGGGAATCAAAATGCAGGCTTCTGGGATAACAGTAAGTGTTTAACTGCTGAGCCAGCTCTTCAGCCCCAGTGGCCCCCTCTTTTTTATTTTATTTACTTGTTTATTTTTGTAGCCTGTTTATTGAGACAGTCTCCTGTAGGTCAGCTAGCCCCAAATTTGCTCTGTTGATAAGAATAACTGAACACTCCCCTGTCTCCGCCTCCCCTCTCCCCATCCTCCACCCCTGCCACTAGAGGATTACATGTGGCATGTGACACCACCCTGGACTTCAGTGTTGTTTATTCTGTGTGTGTGGTTTTTACAGACAGGTTCTCTGAGCCCAGACAACCTGGAAGTCAATGTAGCTGAGGGTAACCTGGGATGGGAGAACACACCCTCAGATCTGTGTGCGGTGCTAGGGGTCGATCACCGGTGCTGTAGACGCTGAGTGTGCCCTGTGCTAACCGGCGGCGTCTCATGCTCAGCCCTTCACTCTTTTAAAGTTCTTTACATGTGTGTGTACACTTGTATGTGTTTGTGTTGGCAGGCACGGTGGGTAGTGTGTGTGTGTGTGTGTGTGTGCGTGCATGCGGAGGTCAGAGGACAATCTCAGGTGTCATTCCTCAGGCCCTCTGACCTTCTGTTTGAGACAGGGTCTATCCCTCTCCTGGAACATCACCAAATGGATTAATCGGCTGGCCAGCAGGCTTCCAGGAGCCAGCACCACTCAAATTCTAGGCACACACCATCATGCATGGCCTTTTATGTGGTTCGGGGATCAAACTCAGGCCCTCCTGCTGTCAGAGCAAGCACCTTAGCAGCTGAGCTATCTCCCTGCCGCTACCCTTTGTTTTTAACTCATAAACTAGGAGTCCACTCTGGAGTAAGAAGGGCATTATTAAGTCTCTCCACATCGTGTTTTCCTTGATAACACAGGAATAACAGTGCACTGGAGAGTCCTGCATGGGGTATGCACATGATTAAAATCAAATGCATTATGGGAAGGAACGTGTGCAGTCAGCATAGGTTCATGCAATCCAAGTCTGTCAGTCAAAATAGAATCACTCAGCCCTACTAATTATTGAATAGGTAATATGAACAAAACTCTTAACTATGGTCACTGATGGTCAGAGTCTGGGCTGGGAATTTCCAAGCTTTGGCTCCTTATTCAAGAATGAAATAAAAGCCTGCAAAAGGAGCAATGAGCCACAGGAGTGAAGATGAAAGGACCCTGACAGCATTTGGAACTGCCTTTTATGTGTGTATGACTATTTTTCCTGACAGCCTTGGATTGTATGAGCCTGTGCTCATACAATACCCTTTCCATAATACATTTAATTGTAATGTGCACACCCAATTATACATAGGCATAGGTTGTTAAGTAAAGGGTTATCCCTAAAAGTTAACTTGGAGACAGTTTTGCTTTACTGCTCATGCACCCCAAAGAAAAGTCCAAGCTAGACTGGCTCTTCTTCCCTTGCATCGAGATACAATGGAAATGTGTTTGACTAGAAATTGAGCTGGACATAGCGGTCCATGCCTTTAACCACAACACCTGGGAGACAGAAGCAGGTGGATCTCCATGAATTCAAGGCTAGCCTGGTCTACATAGTGCCAGGACCACACAGTTAAACTGTCTTAAAACAAGAACAACAACAACAAAAAAGAAACTGTCCAAGTTTGATGTTCATGAATAACTGGTTATTCCACTGTCCTGAGTGTGATGTATGTACAGCTTGGTGCTAGTGGGAGTCCTAGGTTGCTAGGTGCACTGTTCAGAGAGGGGTGTGGTTGCTAAGCTATGCCTCATGCTTGCCTTCCTGTTGCTAGTAGCAAGGCTTAGCCATTATGACATTTGTTACTATTTGTTGTGAGCCCCACTGCTTAATTGATTCTTGTTAGGTTTTGGTTTGTTTGGTTTAAAGCTAGCTGGAGATTTGTCTTGCTTTGCCTTGACCTTGGCCAGGTACATGTTCAGGGCCTCCTTTCTCCGGAGACAAAGCAGACAGAATCCTAGACATCAGCCTCCTCGATCAGGAAGGTTATCTGCTGTGGCCTTTTACATCAGAGCTCTTGGTCAGATGAAAAGTGTAATCTAGAATGGCCATGGGCCAAGCTGTCACCAAGAGCACCTTGCTTTATCCTTGGTTCTCGGGCACTACATGGTCCACCACAGAGAGCCTCTGCTGATGAGAAGAGCAGCCCCAGCTGGAGGGCACACAGGACAGTTTGCTGTCTGATGGTGTTCACAACGGTGTCTTTCACCCATAAGTGGGCAATAATGCCCACAGGATCTCATTCGGTCCTACAGTGTATGTGGAGTAATTTGCCTGAACCTGGTAATCACAGCTGAGGACCACAAGGCAACCTCCATCAGGGAAGGCAGAGCTGCTGACAGATGTAGGCACCAGCTTGGACAGTAGAGCCACAGCCACAGCTCCTGTGCAGCGTTCCAGGACTCAGCAGAGTGGGCTGGGTTACCCTGCAGCAGAAGGTCCAATTGCCCAGCTTCTCCAGACTCATCACAAACTGCTGGGCCCTATAGCAGGAGGATGTGTCTTGCCGGTACCAGCTGAACTGAGTGGTTTTTGACAAGGCCTCACTATAGCCTGGGGCTGGCCTAAAACTCTGTGTAGTCTCAATGGGCCTCACACTTATTCCTTCCTGTCTCCCAACTGCTGCAATTTCAGAAATGTGTACCACATCCGCTTTGCTTTGCTGATTTTAATGTTTTAAGTACCTTTGTTTTTGTTTTCTGAGACAGGGTTTCTCCGTGTAGCCCTGGCTGTCC